CCAGGCACATTACCTCCGGACTTAGTATTTTTCGAGCCTAGTCAGCCCAGATAAAGCCAGATAACCAGTTTTAGACTTAGAAATTCTCTCAAGAACTCTAGACAACTTCCGATAGAATTACATGCCTTAGCTCGTGATCTTTCTTTAAATTAGCAAGCCCCTCATACTAGAAATGAGCATTAAATGTATTAAAAATCGACCGAGTAAACCATTAAATTAGATCAGTAATTATATAATCGAGTTTTTCCAGTCAAGCTGAATACTTAGAATATTCTACTTAAATATTTTATAGCTTAAGGAGAGTCGAGCCATCAAGAGTTACCATTCATCCTGCACTTGCCTAGCAGTCTATCGGGTGGGGGTCACGTACTGAGTATCACATCATTACTTTACCATGTTCGAGGTATGTATGAGAAAGTTATATCGCCCAAGGTGAAGGTACACCGGGCCTTAATGTCCCATCCTAGGTTCTGGTAGAAGCACCAGCGAGCTTCAATGTCCCATCAGAGTGTGCACATAATTTACCGGCACAGCCACCGGGAGTTAGTACACAGTACAGTTCAGATCAATTCAGTTACTTATATGCTTAAGTCATGATATTATTATTATGGATGTTTATTCGTACCGATCTGCGAAGCATAGTGGTTTTGCACATGCCCTACTACCCTTTTCTTTTTATGTAACGGAGTCCAGCGTGGCGCACGAGCACTCGTGGTGGTCGTGGTCATGAGCTCAGTTGATATTTTGACACGCATTTTATGTCATGTATTATGAACATGTCGTTTTAACTATGCGTGTGCTTATTATGCTTTAGCTTCCGCATTTCAGACGTAGTATGATATTATGAGAACTTCAGACTTACGAATGTGTAATACTCTTATCTCCATGGTACCTTTATTAAATGGATTCGATTCGCTTGCATGTATTAATTATGTTTGAATGAGAAAGAAATAAGAATAGTTAGTTTAGTAACATACCGCAAGACAGTTATAGTATTTTTCAAAAATAAAAAACAAAAATTTAACTCTGATTTTTACATGTCTAGTTATAGAAAGCGGGTTGTTACAAAACGTGCAACGATTGTACTATATATTTACCCTAAAAAGAAAAACGGGAAGCAAATTATTGTGAAAGGGGACAGAGAGAGCATAATGAAAGATATAAAGTGAGACAATTGTTAAGAAAATAGAAGATTGAATTATTATTACTATAAGAGAGGAAATGAAAATGTGGGACAAATCATTAAATAAGGGTTGAGTTGGAGATTGACTACACCAAAATTAGAGATTAATATATATGAAATTTAAGGATTCAAACTCAAATCTTGTCTAATTGAAAAAATAAACATTATGTCAAAAAGGCTTCAGATAGCGCTTTTTTTTTAGTTGGATTGAGTTGTAACTTGTAAGAGTAATTTACTCATGGTGAGATTGTGGTTAGGAACTCAAAATAGCTAGATGTTTTAATTTGTTTGACTATTTATCAATATCCAAATGTTGGATTTTCATAATAATATCTATATATATAATAAGAATTACCATTTACCAAAAATAGTAACTAAAAATCCAGAACATTAATTACATTCCTTTTTTGGAAAGTTTTATTCATATTTTCTTATATATATTTTTTTAAATTTGGCCCCATTTAATGCCTGATTTCATGGCTTTTTAAAAATGAAATTTCAAAATCGGTCATTCAAATTTTCTAAGTCCTAAAAATCGAGAATTGAAATTTCAAAATCGGCAAGCATACTTATTTTTTAAATGAATGATTCCATAAATTTTCAGACAATATATTAAGTTAAAGTGAATTGTAATTTACCATATTATAATATTTCTCATTCAAAAATAACCAATGTTAACATAATTTACAAAATCTCGATTTTCATACCATACAATACTATTTTTTTTTTATCTTATAAAAAGGAAAACACGAATAGGCCAAATTTGTCAATTTTGCGATTAATTTCGAAAATGGAAAAAAAAGGTATACATCTCAGATTTGCATTCGACTTTTAAAAACCAAACAATATTCGTAACATATAATTTTGCCCACCCTTACTGTGACCTTTGTGTAAAGAAAACAAAATTTCAGATCTGAACGTAAACAAAAATTCATGTCAGATTTTAAATGTTTTGGTAAAACTTCCAAAATTTGAAAAAAAAAAAATATAAAAAACATTTTTCATATATTCGAGTAAGATATCTATGTTTATTGTTCTATAAAATTCATAATGATCGAATAAAGCGTATTGATTCTTTTCAGTTCTATAAAAAGTCGTGAAATAAACTTTGAGAATTGAAGAAAAGAACTTGACAAATCATCTTTAAAATCTATGTTTTTCGAAAGAAAAATTTCGCGATTCGGATTTAAAAAAAAAAAAAAAAAA